AAATTGGCTCGAACATAACGATCAAAAATTATAATACTTTTCTTAACAACCACGGGTCATCGGGATACAAATTTCAATTTGAGTTAAATAGTGACAATAATACTGGCAACGTATATATAATTGGTATGGCTTTGGATATACACGAGGGTGTTGTTTCCCGGCTTCAAGATTTTTTCAAGGCTGCGAACGGTGGAGTTGTTGATGATCCTCCCATAAAAGTTTATAGACAACCTTGTAAGAGAACCTATTCTAGTTGCTTCGTGTTATTGAATTTCAATACACTTATAGTCTTTTCATATAGTTCATTACAATCCTGATGGAAGTGGAGTTAAAATAGCCCCTGATGTTGCTGTATATCCAGATATAGCATTTGTTCCAAGGCCTGCTTTATCAACCGTAATACCCCGTCCTCCCAGTAATGTAGATGTACGTTAAGTTTTTTATTATATTTGTTTTATATATAGGTATAATTTTCATTATTATGGTTTATGCAGGGAAATCCACATGCGCGGATAATATGTGAGGTAGCAGTAGGTCAAAGTGTTGGTTATTTAAGACAAAAGTGTTTGACTTGGATGTCTGAACAATATGTTCGTGCGGTTGTTAGTATTAGGATTTTAGAAGCAAGACCAGGGATTCAAGAACCTAATACTGGTTATTCTTATAGAACAATGACGGTATATCATTTAATGATACCAAATCAAACATTGCATCTTTTGATATTTAATTGATCTGTTTTTTTTTTAATATTAGGCGAAACTTTATCGTCAAGGAATGGCAACACAAAGATGGGATTTTGGAAATGTTAAAAAACATTCAAGAGATCCTATCCGTGATCCTGCTCCTTGCAATGCACCAAACTTGGCACAATTTCAAATAAATATTCCCGTAGGTGAAGTATTTTGGGACCCACCAGCATTTCCCATCCCACCTGGATATGCACCAATAATCCCCCCTGCGGTTGCAGTCAACAATTTCACTATTGACTTGTACCGGATACAACGAGTAGCTTTAAGAGCTAAAATGTGAACAAAAATTAATTTGAAACCTTCAAAACAGAATTTCATTATATAGTAACCAATCTACAATATATTTTATCAATTTCATGAATTCGTCTATATTTAATTTTCTTGGTAGTGAAGATGTCAAAATTATGATGATAATGAGAACGATATGATGAATACTGTGATATGTATAGCTTTAAAAAAGATAGTTTCAATAAGAATATAAAATTTTCTGATTAAGATGCTGGTTATTATTACGATTTAAGTAGCTGCGTATATTGAAAATAAATTTTGCCAGTTATTTTAAACAAGCGTTATAAAATTTTTGCGTCGTATAATTATACCTTAATTTATACCCGTTCAAATTTCGACTAATTTATTACCAAGTTACACGATCGCGTTAAAATAAAAATTGGGAGCCCACCAGTCCCTTCTTTATTTCATAAAAAATTATTGCCGGAACAATAATACACAATAAAAAAAAAAAATACAACAAAAAATATCTATAAAAATATAAATAAAAAAAGGGAAATTCTATTTTGGCCTGGGTCAAAATAACCCTCAGCAAAATTTTAGGGTTAGTGCGGGTCAGAATTAGACCGGGGT